GTGACATCCTGCGGCCCACAGAGCTCCCACGGCAGTTACGTGGGCTTAGAAAGGGTCAGAAGCCTGAAAGTCATAACAGTAGGACCCAGAGCTCCACAAGAAAAGACGAGGCTGCACCCAGAGCCGGGAGAGCCTGAGCTGGACGGGGAGGCTGGATGCTATCTGAGCAGTGTGGACATCAGTTGGCTCAGAGTGACGGAGCAGGCGGCGGCTGGGCCAGGAGCCCCTCGGTGGCCGTGTGACTGCTTACACTATAGCCCCCAGCCATCAGGTGAGCCCAGCTGACAGTGCTGGCAGGAGGCACCCGGTCGTGACAAAGCTGTACAGGCCAGCTCCAAAACCCCATTCCCCTGAAATTCTGAGTCCTGGCCGCAGGGACCCCGGCAATCCTTTCTGAATAGGATCTCCAGTTTTAACCCCTTCCTTTCCTCTCTCCTTCTATCTGTTCCTCAGCGGAAGGAGACGTTACGCCGACGTGCAAGCATGTTCGGCAAAGCCCCCACGGGCCCATCGCAGGGCGGACATAGCCATGGAATGTGCACAGGAGAAATTGCCTCTTGACATGAACTAACAGTGACATTTGACATTGTCATCAACGTTCAGTTCACGAATGTGTTTGCCTAAGGGGAGAAAAGGTAAGTTGATTGCCCCACAAGTTTGTGGCCATAAGAAATTAGAATAAGGAAGATGAATAGGCAGTAAGGCAAGTTTGCCATGATGATTGGCCAGATTACAGATGTGGATGGTACTGAGTAGAGACGCACCTTGGAGAATGCAGTGAAATCAAATACATGAGTTCATGCTGGCAAGCAGAGAGGTGTCCTGGGAACTCACTCCTGAGATACCGGGGTCTGCCCTTCCTAGTTATTTGGCAGCTATCCTTGGAATTCTCTGGTTTGTGAGGTTCCACTGCTTTCACTTTGTAGCAGCCTGTTACTGCTGAGTCACCTCGGCAGCTCTGCTGCAGTCAGGTGAGTCAGCTTCCCCACGAACACATCTGATGGAACACGCCCTCTGACTTATGGTGTCTGCCCACGGATTTATTGGAGAGGCAGAGTCAGGCAAGGTGGCTCCCATCTGTCGGTTCATTTCCCAGATGCCCATAATGGCCTGGGAGGGTCGGAGGCTGAAGCATGGGCTGGGAGCTGGGAACAATCCCGCTCTCCCACGTGAGTGGGAGTGTCCCCAGTGCTTGAACTGTCACCGCAGCCTCCCAGGGTGTCCACGGGGGAGCTGGAATCAGGGGTGCGGCTGAGGTTTGGACACTTGCACTACCTCCAAGTGGCGCCTTAACCGGCAGGCCCAACTCCTGGCCCCGGAAGATCCCTCTGTTACCCCCCTGGGCGTTGCAGCCTTCCTATGACTTTTGCCCTAAGCTGTGACAACGTACTCTTAAATCCTTCATCTGGAGGGTTAAGACAATTTCTGAAGGAAATTACAATACTGAAGGGGTCAATATTGCTCATCATTTGAAGTTCTATTTTTTTCAACTAATGAGCACAGACACCTTAAAAATGCTAACATGTACAAGGAGTTTTCCTAATTTAATGCTACATTTCAATTTACTTTCCAGTAACACCTGCATCAGTGTAAATCTCTATGAGCAGTATCCCCACCCCTTCTGAGAGATCTGCAGCTCTCCATTCTACTCTCTCTTCCTTCTCCAAGGAATCCCGAGAGAGGAAGAAGCAGTTAGGAGGTGGAGTGCGCTGATGGCGGAGCGTCCGGCCGCCTTCCCAGGGCGACAGCCGCCGGCCTGCTGGCTCTCTGAGTTTCTCACGAAGTGCACCCCTCAAGACCAACCACAGGGCTAGATGTGCTTGGCATGACCATTCCCTGTAATGAGGTGTTGACGGTACCCCCGGGACCCCCGAATGCGGCATGTCCTCATGTTTGTTCACACAAGCGTTTCTTCTTGATTGATTCTGCCAGTGCTGGGTGGCTCCGCGAGGCTCCCTCCCTGCGCGGATGCTCTGCTCGCCGCTCCTTCGGTGCAGCTTCTGCCTGCGGCTGAGCCGTGGCTGAGTCAGGGGCAGCTTCGCCTCTGATTCCTCAGGCTGTAGGATGAATCAGGAGATGACGCAGGGTAGAGAGAGGTGTGGCTACAGCATCATGCGCATTGAGAAGCCTCGACAACTCTTGGGGAGTTTGAGATGGACCGGGAAGGATGTAGCAGCCTGCCTTGGCGGAAGCCATCGGTAGAGCAGAATTTCAGAGAGAGGCTATGAAGCACTGACCTCGCGCCTTTCCCTGCGCGCTAACCCCCTCTCCTCTTGGGTTAGCTCGAAGGGGAGATTATTTGTAACACCACCACCGAGTACAGCCATTCCACCCTGAACGCGCCCGGTCTCGTCTGTAACACCACCACCAATGTCTATCGAATACTTACATTGATGCTAAGAATATTAAGTTCTTTAATCTTCACAACTCCCTATGAAGTAGGTACTAGTAGTGTGATATCATTTATTTTTCTAGAAGGGAAAACTGTGACACAGACAAGAAAAAGAGTTCAGTTCCACCTAGTACCAAGCCGAAAGGCTGAGAATAGAGTGCAGGCAGGGTAATGCCTGGATCAGCTTGCCACCTTCTCCGTCCATTTGCTCAAATCTTCTCCATTTCAGTAGAGCTTTGTAGTTTAAAAATACTGCTCTACATGCCTTGTCAGCTATTTTAGGGTATTTTAAGGGTTTTTGTTGTTGTTGTTGTTGTGGTTGAACGTATGAGAGAATTCTTAAAGTGATATTTTCTGATAATTGCTTATTCGTTTTAAACTCACCAGCTTTCACAACGATGAATAAAAAACACAGGTGAGATCCGAAATGCATTAATTGAGCACCGCTAATGGTGGTGGAAGCATCGTGCGTAGTCATCCGGCCTTTCCTGGTGTGCTGCTCCTGGGTGGAGAGTGGGGACTGGGCAGCATCCAGAGAGGAGCCATGGCAGGGGCTGAGGCCAGCGGAGCATAGCCGCGGGTCGTGCTGGGGAGTCTGCATCCTGGCTGTAATGAAATCTTCCAACAAAAGGTTGCAGGCATAAGTAGGGTCACTGCATTTGTTTTTGTTTGCTTTTAAGGATTTATATTTTATTTATTTTGTTACTCAGAAGGCAGAGTTACAGAGAGAGAGAGAGAGAGATCTTCCATCAGCTGTTTCACTCCCCAAGTGGCTGTAGTTCCTGGAACTGAGTCAATTTGAAGCCAGGAGCTTCTTGCAGGTCTCCTATGTGGGTACAGGGGCCCAAGGACTTGAGCCATCTCTGTTGCTTTCCCAGTCCTTATGCAGGGAGCTGGATGAAAACGAAGCAGCCAGGAGCATATGGGGTGTGTGTGCTGTAGGAGGAGGCTTAGCTTGCGCCAGAGCGCTGGCCCCACTAGGTTTGTTTTAAGAGCATCGCTCTGCAGAGGGGTGGGGGAGGGGAGAAAGGAGTATTGTTACATTCTTACAATTGTATCCATAAACTGTGCTGAATTTGTTAAAAGCTAAGAAAAAGGCTAGAAACAATTAAATACCTAAATAAATATTTAAAACAAAGAAAAGAGATAAAAGCATCATTCTTGTAGCATTTTATAGGGTGACTCAACCTTGGGAAAGTCTTGTGACAAGGAGACTGGTTAGGATATCATTGAAGCATTTCAGGTGGGAGCTAGTGATGATCTCAGGCAGTAGCAGAAGGGACAGGAGAGTGGGAGGGCAGCAGGGAGGGGAAGAAAAAGGTTTTAGGTAAAATCAATAGCTCTTGATAACTCGTAGTGTTTGGGGAAAAGAAAAGAGATGCTGAAGTTATTGCAAGAGAAAAAGGGTTGTACCAGGTGTGTGGACGGGTTAGGGAGATTGTGACAAGGAAATAATATGAGGGTACTTCAAGACATTCTTGAAAGAAATGGGATTTAAAGATGAGTTTGTCTTGGTGCAGGAGCAGCAATGGCCTGGCAGCTAAGACACAGCTTAGATGTCCAAGTCTCCCACGGGACTCAGCTCTCGACTCCAGCTCCCCATTCCAGCTCCCTGCTCGCACAGCCCCTGGGATACGGCACTGGGATGCGGCACTGGGATGCGGCACTGGGATGCGGCACTGGGATGCGGCACTGGGATACGGCACTGGGATGCAGCACTGGGATGCGGCAGTGTGTGTGTGGGGGGGACCTGGATCCAGTGCCCAGTTCTTTGCTTCAGCCTGCTTGGGGAGTGAACCTGCAAGATGGAAACCCTTTCTTTCTCCCTTTGTCTCTCCTCTCTCTCAATCTATCTTGCTCCCTCTCTCATCTCTCCTTTCTTCCTACCCTCTGGTGAAAACGCTTTTGAAATTCATTAATAGCATTTTCATAATAGCCATTTTCCATGGATTCGTTGAAAAACCCCTGTATGCTTGGTATTGACTTGGTACAGCTGAGTCAGAATGATGGTCACCAAAATCCCAAAGCATGATATAAAAACTGATGGAAATGAAAGAGTAAAACAAAACTTAGGGGTTGGGGCAGGGTTCCGGGTCTGTAAGAGCCAAGCAGAGGACCTGGACGTTGCTGGAGCATGAATACAGTTGGAGGCCAAAAGAAAGGGTGAAGTCAGCCCTTGCAGGGTCATCAAGAAATAAGACACACTTTTTAAGTTTAAATTTCAGATAAATGATTTTTGATTTTTTTAAGTGCATTATTGAGGACATGCTGTGCACCTGCGCCCCAGGGCCTCATTCCTGGGCTACTTGCTCCCCAGCTCCAGGTGACCCGACATGCAAGCATGGGCTTGAAAGTATTTACAACAGAACTGAAGCAGGCAGCTTTCATGGGGACTGTGTTGATGTTACAAACAGGCAACCAATGAGAAGCAAAACGTGGAGAAGTCCAGAGCAGGTCTGTGAGATCACAGAGCATCTGATCTAATGTCAAGAGTGGGCGGGGCAGGGTTTAATCTGAAGGCTGGTGATTTGCAGTGTCAGGGCAAACAGCAGTTGGTGTGGGGCAGGGGTGGCAGCAGAGGCATGAGTTCGTCTGCCAAAGGGAAGACGTGTAGGTGAGTCCCTCGGGGCCTGAACACGGCCTCTGGCCACTCGCCCTTGAAGGGCGCTAGGCAGCAGTCGCCACCTGGGACTGTGCCCAGAGCTGCCCTGCTCTGCAGCGTTGGCCTCCCAGCCCTTTCAGGTAGCACAGTGTGACTGCAAAGGCTTTCATCAGAAAATTGTGGGTGGAAACTTCCAGGGGTTTGCTCTGAGCTTCTTGAGGCTTCTCAGCTGCAGATGTGGGGTGAGTGGGCGTCTCTGTGAAAAGCAAAAAGAGAAAATGAGAGAGCGAGAAGGTGTTTCCCTTGGCGTGGAAACTCTATAAAGAGAGCACTGGCTTGCCTTCCCTCGAGCAGTCAGAGCAGCAGGGGTGGCAGCCTCCCCAGGACCGAGAGGCACGATCCTTGGCCGGGGCTGGCCGCAGTCCCTGGCTGCCATGCAGCAGCCCTTCAGTTACCCTTATCCCCAAATCTACTGGGTGGACAGCAGGGCCAGCTCTCCCTGGGCCCCTCCGGGGGCGGTCCTGCCCTGCCCACCCTCTATACCCGAAAGGCCTGGTCAACGAAGGCCACCACCGCCACCACCACCACTACCACCGCCACCACCGTTGCCCCCACTGCCCCCACTGTCCTCACTGCCACCACCGCCCCTGAAGAAGAGCAAAGAGCACAAGACCGGCCTCTGCCTCCTCGTGCTGTTTTTCATAGTTCTGGTGGCCCTGGTTGGACTGGGGCTGGCCATGTTCCAGCTCTACCACCTGCAGAAGGAGCTGGCTGAACTCCGAGAGGTAAGCTTGCTGTGTGGCTGGCTGTGCCTGGAGTCATCGGGCCTAAGACAGCGATGCTGCTGTGGGGGTAGGGCCGCTGTGGTCCTCCTGGACCATTGTGCTGCCTCCAAGTGCTTTCCAAGCTTTACTCTCCTAAGAAAGGCTTTGTTCTCATCATTCTGGTCTATACCAGAGAAATCAAGGTTTCTATGAAAGAAAGAGGTCTTTTCTGATTTGTAAAGGATTTAAACTTTATCAATTGTAATGTCATTCTATTAAGCCTCTGGCTGCCTCAGACCTTTAAATTTTAAGACATAAAAAGAATGTCTTTGAGTCTGCTTAGCAGTAAATGTATTCTGTGAAGAGTGGAATGCTGGAGTTGTGACTGCAGCTGAAGGACCATAGTATTGTAAAAGCAGGAGGCAATGGAGACAGGAAAAGGAGGAGAAGGGAGAGGGAGGGGGGAGGGGGAAGCCCTGTGCCTACAAAGCTGTATGGTGGAAGATGAGAATAATAATTAAAAAGAAGTAAATGGATTCAAGTGGTCAACCTAAATTTCCTTAACAAAGAAATTGGTCCAAATGACAAAACTGAGAGACAGTGAGACCAAGTTACTCGGTCACAGCCTGAGTTAGGAAGTGTCCTAAAGTGTTTGGAATCTCTTCCCAGGGGCTGATTTTTTTGACAAATCCTCCTCTGCTGAAAAAACTCCATATTTATTCTCTCTCTTTTTTCTTTTTTGCTAGTCCTTCAGCCAAAGGCACACCACATCATCCGTGGAGAAGCAAGTAGGTGAGTTCTTTCGAGCATGCGCGTGGAGCTTCCCAGGCTAAGCCTCAGGCTGAGTTGTTGGCAGAATGCCTTCAATTCTAACCCGTGCTGGGGCTCACCCTTGTGAATGGCGTGAGAGAAATCCTGATCAATCCCAAATCTCTGGTCAATATGGTTTCTTGAGTTGCTTCTAGAATATGAAGAGAAATGAGTTGAAGCTGAGTGCTTCACACGCTGACACGTGCACTTGACTTTGGTGTCAAAGACACAGGTCTGGAGTTCTGCCATCCGGGCTGCTGGTTCCAGTCCTGGTCTCTTGCTCAGGAGACCCGGCTCCAACCCCTGGTGGAGAGGGGGAGGTAGGCACAGAGAAGGGTTTCTGGGATAGAGCCTCTGCTCTTCTAAACTCTAGAAATGAGATTGCTGGAGAGTCAATCTTTATTTAAAGCATTGAGTAAAGCACAACTAAGCTTTAAAAAAGTGGACAATTTCCCACAACATGAGGGTGATTCTTTTGATGTTACCAGGAGACTTGGCGGGGGGGACTTTACCTATTGTTCAAAGGATTATTCGCCTTTACTCACAGTGAATTTTTTGCTAAGAAAGGAAAATTCTGTGTATGAACTTCAGGACAAGAATAAGAGGAACGTGTTGAACACTGGTCTCATTAAACTTCAGATTCAGAAGCTGTGGGCAGATGGATCTGTGGATAGGCCTTGGTTGTGTTGAATCAAGACCCACTGGCTTGTAAATGTGGGTTTGGGAGCTTGAAGACCATCTGGTCCATCCAGCCACCTCGTGTTTCAGAAGAAAGATAAAGGCTCAGACAGACTGGTTGATGCGCCCAACACTGCTGTGTGTGTGTGTGGTGGGCGTGGGGGGAGGTGGTGGGGAGCTAGAAGGGGCACAGTCTCCTGGTACTGTTGCACCTCCAGGGCTTTCTAGCACATGGACTGGTGCTTCTGTCTCTAAGGGCCATGGGATGAGAACAAAATGGAACTCAGGACAAGTTGGCAGAGACAATACATCAATCTCCTTGGACATGTAGTGGGCAGGCTTGCCATCCATCCACTAAGCACAGCCGGCTCCGGGCTCAGCAGAGCTGCTGCAAGTGGCCCAGCTGAGTGCTTGTCTTGGGATCTACCCTCTTGCAGGAGTCCTTGTGGAGACACTCTGGCCCCCTGTGGTGTGTCAGAAATGTGGAGGTGCATGGATGGGAAACTGCAGAAAAATCAGGCCTCCTTAGGATTTCTAAGGTTGCTTTGCAAATCAGGGGACTCATTGGGGAACAGGTGCCTCATTACTCATCATTCACCCACTCTCTGGGGTATTTTATTGATTAAGAGTCAAATGAGGAGATGAGTCAGGTCTCCCTACTCCAGTAAACACTTTTCTGCATCAACCCAGACAGATCAGAAATTAGGGAATTAGCAGGTGGGAATGAATGTAGTAACTGTATTGACGCAAGATGCCAGTTACAGAGGAAGATACCTGTTTGCATCCATCAATTTAGAACCGACTAAAAAGTAAAACCCTAGACTGACAGGAAAGGGCCTGTTCAAACACTAGTCTCGGCTAGTGTGAGTGAAGTTGCTGTAATGTTTCTGAAGAAGAGTTTGGAAATATGTATTAAAAGCTCGAGCTTGTTAGTTTAGCTTGTAATTCCCATCACTAAGATTTTTTTTGTTAATAAAATAATCAGAGGTATGGTGACTTAAAGTCATCTTTATGAAGATATTTATCCCTTCCTTATGAAGCCATTCAGAAGAAGTAATCTGGAAGAAACTTAAACGCCTCATAATGTTAGTTATGTATATTATGGTATATTCAGATCAACATAAAATACTGAACTAAAACCATGCATTTAGTAGTATGGGGATTGTGCTTTTATATAACTGTTATAAAAAGGGTGTGATAGTTAATCGTGGCTTAGTACCAACCATGCAATCATACTTTTGTACTCTTAGAGAAGAAACAAAAGGGTGATTTTCTCTGGGAGGTACTGTGACAGATTATTTATATTTTCTTCTTTGTTCTGCTTTCCAGTTTTCAGTAGTTAACTAGTTAATATGCTTATTCGTTCATAAATGCCCTCTGAGGATCTCCTATGTGCCAGGCTGGGTGATGGCTGGTCCAGATTGAGAACACAAGAGGGGAAGGGGACCTGTCTTCAGGGGCCTTTTCAGCATGGTAAATAAGGTGAATAGCAGCAAGTGGGCAAAAAGCATACTTTCACATTGTGTTAAGCGTGACCCAAGGCGGAGCAGTCTGGAGAGGGGCTGTTGTTTGTGCTGACACTCAAGAAATCAGGATCCTCAGAGAGGAGGGCTCTGCATCTGTGATGTGGAATGGGTTGGCTAAGGAGAGGATCCGTCCCAGCCCTGGGAATGGCTTGTTTAGAGTCCCCAGGACAGGACGCATTCACCCTGAATGCCTGGTGTCTCTTTTCAGTTTATTCTGGAGTTCACCAAGATATTTTCAGTGTGCATCTTCTGTGAGCAGAGCGGATGTTACACTAGGCTCTGTGAGAAGATGTAAGACATACCACATGTGGTGCTTCACTTCCATTCCCTGCTCTTCCTGGACCAAGTGCCAGCTCAGCTGCTGGGCGGTCAGTGCCGCAGGGACGGGCAGGAGCCTTGCTCTTCCTGCTCATTCACAGCTCATTCAGGGTGCGCTGTGTTGGCTGGCCAGAAGCACAGTGCACACACAGTGTCCTTGGTTGATGATGCCGTTCTCATGGTGTGCCGTCCTCAGGCTCATCCCAAGCCTAAGATGGACGGAAGGCTGTCCAGGGTTCTTTGTTGAAATGGACATGACTTTTATCATCTTGTCTCACGAGGAATCCTCCACCTCTCTCGTGGCTCAGGCCAGGGATAATGTGAAACTCATTCTTGCCATTGGGCAAGGATGGCACTGCTTCAGCTCTAACCCTTCTGTGGGCATCAACTATGTGTAGAGAGGGCCCGCCCCACCAAATTGGGCGTAATGTGCTAGAAGACTGAAGGGCAGAACACCCAATCCAGTGCAGGACATTCTTCTGGTGGGTGGAGACAACTAGGTTGGGCAGTGGGCTGAGAGCTGTGCATGGTTGCAGATTCAGCGAGGGTGTTAGTGGTGTCAGTCCCCAGAGAGATGAGCTGATGGCTTGAAGTCCTGGGATAATTCCTTGGGACAGACTGTGGAGCGCAGATTGAGGTGGTAAGGAAGTGGATTGGCAATGTCCCCCGGCTCCTGTCTGTCCGTCAGAGTCCCCAGGGCAGCAGGGCTGGAGTGGACAGAGCCCTGGATTCAGAGCAGAGAGCAGAGTGCCCACCCCATCCCTGGCACTGAATAGCTCAGTCTTCTTGGATGAGCCACCCAGCTTTCAAGCTTGCTTTAACATTCAGAGGACATTTCAGAAAGTTCATGGAAAATAGAGTTAAAACATAAGCTTATTTTGGAACAAAAATGTATTTTTTTGAGATTTATTTATTTGTAAGTTAGAGTTACACAGCAAGAGGCCAGATTGAGACACAGAAAGATCTTCTATATACTATTTCACTCCCTATATGTGAATGGCCAGGGCCAGACCAGGAGCTTCTTCTGGGTCTGCCCTATCGGAGCAAGGGCCCGGGCACTGGGCCACTTTCCAATGCTTTCCCTAGGTCATTGCAGGGCTGGATCATGAGTGGAGCAACCAGGACATGAACTGGCACTCATGTGCGACCCTGGTGCCATACAACCATGTCCTTACTTGCTATGCCACCCACTGGTCCCACAGAAATATTTTGAAGTACATGGATAGATTTTTCATAATAAACATATATTGCATGAATTTTTGAAGACTCCTTGTGTAAGAATAGCAATTCCTAGCTGAAGGAATAGTCAGGCATTCTTAATGTGGTCACTGATATGACTGTACTTTATGAATTATTGCTGTTTACCACTTATGTTATATGGTAACTAATATATGTGTATCTATTGATCTATCTATCATCTATTGGATTAGCATGTGTTAATTATGGCTGTGTATGTATGAAATATTTTATTTAAGTGATGAGTATTAAACTCCCACAAAAAGAGTTGATGCTCCATTTTTTGCATACATTTTTTCTTTCTCTATTATTCAGGTCACCCCAGTCTCCCGTCTGAAAAGAAGGAGGCAAGGAAAGTGGCGCACTTAACAGGTTTGTGGTTGGAGGGTGGCCCTGGGAGTTGCAGGATGCAGAACAGCAGCTGCTGGTTGGTTTCCCCCGCCAGGCTTGCAGGAAGCTGTTATTTCTGGCGATTGACTGAAAACTCAAGAACACAAAGATCTTCCTGGTCAGGCTGATCTTAGACCCCCTAGTCTGGGGTGTGAGCCTTGTCCTAACCTGGAGCTATGGGCCCGATTGTGATTATGACAAATTGCCCGTACAGTGCTCCCCGCTTCTGGCACTCCAAAGATGCCCTAGGGGCTTTGTGACATAGCTCCCAGAGGTGAGAACCCAGGACGTGGGATAGGAGGAATTGTTTTAGCCAGTGCTTCCCTGGCTACCTGGGAGCGTTCCAGTGGAAACAGCCTCGGAAGCAGAGGCTCAGCCCTGGCACTTAGGGGCGTTTGGGCTGTGAGTGCAAGAATGACTTCAGAGCACTGTGTACAAATACTCCTACTGTAAACTCCATAAGTCACTGGAAATGGGTTAATATTACAGAAAGAGGAACGTCATGGCCCCTGGAATCATTTAGGCAGGGATTGTAGAGTGACCCAGTGGGGCCAAATCTTCTTGTGTACCCGCTCCTCAGCCCGTTCCGCATGGGACGTATCACTCTTGGTGAAACATTTGTTAGTGAGCCCATGGTTTTGCCTTGGAAGCTTAGTTTTTCTAATGTGTGTGTATTTCTGGCTGAAGGCTGCTCTCTGGTTTATTTCAGGCAAGTCCAACACAAGGTCCAACCCTCTGGAATGGGAAGACACCTACGGAATTGCCCTCATTTCTGGAGTGAAGTATGAGAAGGGTAGCCTGGTAATCAATGACACTGGCCTGTACTTCGTGTACTCTAAAGTGTACTTCCGGGGTCAGGCCTGCAACAACCAGCCCCTGAGCCACAAAGTCTACATGAGAAACTCTAAGTACCGGCAGGACCTGGTGCTCCTGGAAGGGAAGATGATGGACTACTGCACTGTGGGCAGGATGTGGGCCCGCAGCAGCTACCTGGGGGCAGTGTTCAACCTCACCAGTGCCGACCACTTACATGTCAACGTCTCCGAGATCTCCTTGGTCAACTTTGAGGAATCTAAGACGTTTTTTGGCTTATATAAACTCTGAGAAAAACACTTTGGGATTCCATCACAATTCCTGTTACAGGCATTGAGAATGCTGTCTAGAACAAGGGTCTTCCTAGATTCCTCTGGAGGTCAAGGTCATGAAACATGAGGACCATGCGAGCCCAGGGTCTGGCATATCTGTGGCTCCAAGTCTCACCCAAGATCTGTGAGCCAGACAGGAAGAGGAAGATGGCTGAAGAAAACAGAGCTTTCAGCTGTGATGCAAACATCAAAAGTGTTGGGAAGCCACCACAGGGCATTCTATACTCATCTGAAGTGGCCTACCGCATCATAGCGTATTTAAAATGATAGCTTTTTACTCACCATTTGAGGTGGGTCAACTTGCTACCTCAGCAGAGGATGTGTTTCCTGTATTGGATTGTTACTTGAGAGTACAAGGAATGAAGAAGGAGGGCTAGGCTTGCAAAATAAGCTAAAGAAACTGACCGAGTCTGATGCCCACTTGACAATATTGTTAATTCCAAATGAGTGGCATGAACTACCAAATGATGCTAATAGACAAAGAAAGGGATTTTTTTGGGTATCAGTTATGTCCCTAAATAGCAGGTGTATTTCCAGTGCAATGATAGGCGTGTGTGTGTGTGTGTGTGTGTGTGTGTGTGAGAGAGAGAGAGAGAGAGAGAGAGAGAGAGAGAGAGAGAGAGAGAATGAAGAGTCACATAGGCACAAAGTGTGCAATTGTGAAGTGTGTATTTGGAAACTATGGTTTGCATATTTTGGTAGATTTTGAATGATTCTTGGCATCCAACTCTACCAGTTTTCAATCTTTGATGATCAGCTGCTGCTGATTTCCTTTAACACAAGCAATATTTATAGACAGACTGTATTTTCATGGAATGTTAAACGTAATAAAACCTGTTTTAGAACACAGATGACTGTGAATGCAGTTTCTGGAAATCACTAAACTTTGGATGTTTTTGCTTATTGCTTCTTTCCTCTGTGATATCTTCATCCGTCAAGACACTTGGAAAGCTTCACGCTGTGACAACCGGGACGCTGCCGACCGGCCTGCCAGGTCTTCCCTCTGCCTTCTCTTTCCTCTCCACTTGTCTGTACCGTTTCCTTCGCCGCTCAGTGCCAGTGGTGAGATTATCCACAGGTGTATAGATTTGATGGCAACTCACCCTGTCCTCGGGCTGTGATTCAGGGAAAAGCGCACAGACTGTGGGCACAAGCCTTCATTTGAATATTTGCTTTCCCTCTTATTCCATCCTCTCTGGATTTGTCACAAAAGAGCTGATCTGTTCATTAAGCAGCTGACACATAGCAGGTCGTAAAAACTGGTACTTCTACTAAGGCACATCACCAGAGGCACTTTATTCTCCAGAGGCCACTGATGTGTGGGATCCAGGCAAACATTTGGCTTCTTCCTTTCTCACGTGTGTTATTCACAGTGATCTTTTCCTTTTTTTTTTTTAAATTATGCATTTGAAAGAGTGACAGAGAGAAAGGGAGAGACCTAGGGGAGATCAACCCCCAGCTGACCAGAAAAGCCTGGGCCAGGCTGAAACCGAGAGCCCCGGGCTTCATCCAGGTCTCCCACATGGAGCTAACTTCCAATGCTTCTCTCAGGAAAAGAGCTGGCAGCTGGATTGGAAATGGAGCAACTGGGACACAAACTGGCAACCCGATGGGAGGCTGGCACGGTGGGTTATGGCTTTACCTGCTGTGCCACAGTGCTAGGATTCACTGTCGGGGAGGCCAGAGTTTTGGGAAGGCTAACTCAGACTGTGTCTTGTAGAAGAGAATCTCCACTGTATTCTCTTTTCAGAAATCCTATTTTCTTTAAGATGGCAAACCAGCAGCTGATGCAGTGGGAGAAAAACATTGTCTGAGGTTGAGTGATTTCATTTATGTCTACCTGTCATCAATTTACATTGTTCTAAAAATTACCACTGATTTATTTATATATTTTGACTGATTGGAGTAGGTAATATGCGCAACTGATAAATAGATGTTTCCTGACATACAAGAATACGGGATAGAAATGAAGTATTCTCTCCAACTTGTTCTGTGGCCTCATACATGCCTCAGAGAGGAACATGATCTAACGTAGCCTTCCGGGCGGTTTGCACGTAAGTCTGCCATGACTTTCCAGCAGTATCTCTTAGGCCCTGTTGGTCTGCTAAGCTGGGTAGTTCCTCATTGTGGGATCTACCCTGTGCGGTGCAGGGGTTAGCCTTGTACTCCAAGGATGCCGATAGCATCCTACACTCCTCCGTCAAAAGTTGACAACCGCCCTCCAAATTGCGGCATGTCCTTGGAGGTGAGAGTAGAGCAACACCCCCGAGATGAGAACCGCTGCTCTCACCCAAAATCAGATCACAAACTGTTATTAACCAGTGACCAGAACTTTTTCTTCAGTTTCCTAGTAAGCATGTTTTTTACTCTTTGAGTCATCATATCATATTTTCTCCTTTTGCGGACCAACCACATCCCCACCTCCCACCGTGTTAACTTCCCTTCCACACAATAACAGTCTCACCTGCACTGGCTTGGTCTATTTTTCCATCTAGTTACAGTGAGAGCTCAGAATTTCTTGGTCCACAAGATTGCACATTTCCTCTTCCTTACTTTGTCACTTTAACATTTCCCCTCCCTCTGAATCTCCAGACTAACTCCTTCTATGAAATAATTTCCAACAGCATTTTTAGAGAAGTAAAAGCCGGACTCAACCTCATCCAAACCAAAGCAAACGGAACCAAAGTCTTTCCAACAACCAGCTTGGAGTAGAGCAAACACTGGAGCTGATTGGCTGGGCTGCGTTTCCTTTGCCAGAAGTGTCCCTCCCCAGGTGTCTCACAGTGCGTCCAAATACTGCCCCCCCAGACTAAGCTAAGCGCAGCTCCCCCTTTTTTAGTGATTTAATTTAAGCTTAGTTGTGTTCACACGAAAGAAAAGTTTCATGCAGATAATTTCACTGAGCAAAGCAGGATTTATAAAAGATGTAAAGTTCCTTCTGCGGCATCAGAGAGGAGCTCCGTGAGCGCAAACACTAGAGAACACGGAAGAAGTGGTGCTTTTAAGACAACCTGGGGGGGAGGAAAAATGGATCAATTAAAGGCTTAGGGAGGAAACTCACAGGAGGTCAGGACTGTCTAGCTTGATGAAGATAAAAAGCCATCAATGAGTGTGTCTGGCAGCTTGTCATTCTCACGGGTAAGTGAAGCTTCAGGCACGGTCTCCTGACTTCTCATGAGAAAACTGGAGACTCAGAGAAATGGAGGTTGGCACACTCATGTGGCGGGTAGCTCTGGGGGAGACAAGCATGGTGCCTTCTCTCAGAGAGAGAATAAAACTGGAAATTGAGGGGAGTGGGATTCACATCTCAACAGGGCTCCACTTAACTGCTTGCTCCTTCATACTCTGATGAAACCAAAGCCAGGAAGGGCTTGGTAAAATTTGCCTTTCCAAAGGATAGAATAGGGGAGAAGCAAAATTGTACATTTTCCAAAAGGCCCTCTTTTCTTATTTCTCCAGGGACTGTGACCTTAACAGCCTATTGGCCCATGTGACTCTTGAAAGTTATTTCTTGGTAATCATTGTAAGCTTTGAATATACTGACCTGGGCTGCTTGGAAGCGTTTTTACCCCTGCTGGAATTTCCGCTGTGAAATGAAGTCCTTTTCTACCAGTTCATCACTCCACTCTCATCGCTTCACTCAGTGACTGGTACATAGTAAGTGCTGTTGAAACATAAAGAGGCACTGGTGTGTGAGGCTGCTCAAGCCCTCTGTAATCTTGTGTGAGGTCTAGGGGCCATCCTTGCGAGGCCCTTCTCCCTGGCCACCGTCTCACTGCCCCATGTTTGCACACACACTGTCAGTCACCCAATTATTCCTCCAATCGGGCAACACAGGGAGTGTCCAGCCATTTCCTGATTGGAAATCACCAGTGTGGTAACTCTTGCACTGGTCTCCAACCAGACCAGGAGGAATCAGGGAATCCTCAAAAATCAAAGACACTTCCAGAAACCTCGGTATCTCTCTCTGTTCAGGAGACATCCCATCTCTTGGAAACCCTCCCCACCCCCAAAGGGGCTTTCCCCTTCCTCCTTCTGCATGTTCACTTGTTTACTTTGCAAATAAAACTATTTTGTAACCAATTCCTGGCCTTTTTATGTCTATACTAGGCTGAGGAAAAGACCCACTGGGCTTTGGTACATGAGTATGACTTTCAGAGCAGTCAACAGTGTCATCTTTGGGATATGTGTGAGTATTCACATCTTGAATAGAATTTTGATCAGAAGTTTGTGTTAGAAGAGAGAGGAGAGGGTACAGACTCACAGAACACATTTGTTAAAGAGAAATACATTCGTGTAGGTGGCTGGCCGTTGGTAGGCATGCCCGTGCAGAGGCATGAATATAGCAGAGCGAGTTTATACAGCATAGGTCTGGTGAGGGTCGTATCAGGAGTGAGGAGAGAGCTGAACTTCTTGTTGAAACTCAGTAGGCCTTGCTCCCTGGAGGCCAGGGAGTTGAAGGAAAGGAATGCAGAGGTTGGGGTGGGAAGCAACACAGAGAGGGGGCTTAAGCTAGGTTTTGGAATGTAGGGGAAGGGTCCCTGTAGGTATTGGCTCTGCTTTTAGGCAAGGAGTTACAATGGCTGAGGAGCTAAGATGGCTGAACATCCCTGTTCCCCCAGTTTGAGACTACAGATGAGAAAGAAAGAAATCCTGCTGCGACTTGACCGAATCTATCCCCAAAATGAGACAGAGGTAGATCCTTACAAGCTCAGGAGTCTTTATTCACCAGCTGGTGCTGACTGGTGGATACCCATGCCACTGCCAGTAGAAGACGGGAACAGCCCTGACCAGCCGCGTTCAGGGGTGTTTAAGTAACGACCATCCAAGAGAGCACTGGCACGTGATATTAATTATTCAACCAACCAAGCTTACACTAATGCACAATACAAATTATCCACTTGACTGTATTGGTGTGAAACACAGACACCCAATCACTTAAAGCATCTTGCATTCTAAATCAGTAAGAGCTATATCCTGTCTAGTAGCAAAAACCAAACCAGGCAAGCAGGTCCTTAAAATTCCATGTACAAACACCAATCTGGGGCAATCAGCTTACAGAGTGACCACTAAGAGCAAAGCCAGATCTAATCCTTGGGGTAAGTACTCTTAGCCCCTTTGGGACTGTCTTCTAACCCAAGGTTATGGACAATTCCTGGAAGTGTTTCAGGAGGTGTAGCCTTACTATTGCCACTTGTTGTTGTGTGGGTTGTCACTGTCCTAAATAACATTGGAAAATAAGAAAAGGACTTAGTCAGAAGGGTCAAGAGAATTGTCACCAGAACTGAAATTGTAATTTAGAAACCGGTCAATAAATGTCTGTTGACTGAATAAATGAATAAAATGAAAGTTTTAGGTTGAAATTTGGGTCATCTACTCTTCCTCAAACTATTGTCTATGCTTTGCAAGGCCAGGTTCTTGACCAGGCACTTCATAGAGAAAGCCAGAGGGATATTTCCATGCTTATGGCCACTGGTCCGTTGCAGACCAGTGCATCTTTCTCCTCTTACAGGGAAAGAACAGGGAGACACAAGTTATTACAATTGCCACATGCATTCTGTCCTTCACAACCTTTGCACTGCATTTTGATAGATCTTTTGCATTTGCCATTCA